TATTTATGTATAGTATATATTATCTCCATTTGGGTACGGAGACTTGTGAAGACCCGAGGTGTCATTTTACTCTCATCTCTGATACCTGCATTAGCAAGTTTTGCCATTGTTCTGGAGGATCTAAAGCAAACACCTGTGTAGCAGACTGTGCCCAAGTCTAACTGTTTGCTGTGTTAGTAGATCATCACAGCCATTATGTTTTTATAAGTTCTTTATTGTCTGAGTCACCTCTGGAGCTGAAATTGCTAAACCCTAGATTTCCCTGAGGGGTCTAAATGGTTCAGGGACGGGGTTGGTAATGGGATACAGGTCATGAGTTCAAATCCTGATCAGGTTAGTAGTGTTTGAAAGCTCTTAGTGTCTGGTACCATGAGCAGTGTGAAGTGAGGGGGTGATATCTCTCTCGGTGTCCTTCTGGTCTGGCATATGTGTTTGCCAGAATACTCATCCATCAGCTTCTTTGCTCAGTTTTTCAGGCCTGAGAGGGAGTAACTGTGTTGTATTTTAGGCCTCTTTCACTGTGGATTCCCTGTCCTTGCCTTTCTGCTGCAAGACCTGAATTGTTATCGAAATAATTAAGAACAGCTATTTTATTTTTTTTTAAATAAATGCTTTTCTCCCTGGTGTGAATTGTGTGTTTCCCTCTCTCTGAATAAAGCAACTGGCATACCATGACTATCTTAGCAGCAAAGAACAGGAGGCAATACAGTGAAGAACAATCCCTTTTCCTTCTACTTAGAAGGTTAGAAGACTAGCCTGCTCTTGAGAGGCTTTGTGGGTAGTGGTGAAAACCTGGGCAAGTACGACCTTTGTCTTTAGATTGGAGTAATAAGGGAGGGCAATCTTTATACATTACTTTGTCCTAGACTTCATACTACATGTGCACTACATGCTCAAGCATGTGTGTGGGGAAAAAACCCTGGTTTTGTCTGTTAGGTCAAGATATATTTTTCTGATGTAAAAGTGTCTTCAGGACTTGAGATACGCTGCCTTCTCTCAGCATAAACTTTCACACTTACCTAAAATGAGAATGTCAAATACAAAGATTTATACGCCACAGCCTATGTAAAATAGCATTCCTTCCAGAACTGGTTGTGTGCACAGTAGGGTTAAACTGACCAGCATGAAGCTTGTCTTAGGTCACACTCATTGAGCACCAGACAGTGGCCTCATCCTTTATACAGCCTTCTGCAAAGGTGACTTTTTCCCACAGGCCCTTGTTTTCCTGTGTCCTTTTAGGCTTTTGAACAGCCTGTCCACTTCTTTCCAAGTTGTGGGAGGGAACACTCTGCCTGTGTTCTCCAGGAGAAATAACTGTTTTGTTAGTAACCACAACTGACTTACTCAGACTCTACATTTAGCTCATATACTCAAAGTGTCAGATTGTTGTCATAGGCTGTCAGAAATGGTCCAGTGGTCTCTTGGATTCCTTCCAGAAAAAGAGAGAATGGTCTCCAAGAAAACAAAACCTTAAACAAAGTTCCCAAGACCCTAGAGGGACAACACTTCATGTTTTTATTTAGTCTGGGTGTCTTGGGACACTTCATGTTTTTATTTAGTCTGGGTACCTGTAGGTTCCTCTTGTAGAGGACACGTCCCTGACTTTCTCATGGAAGGAGATAATGCAAAAGGATTTGAAACACAGGATAGAACAGCAGACAGCAAAAGTATAATGGGCCTTAAAGTAGATAAATCTGTGAAAGAGTAGTGGAAATTAAAATGAAGGTAATAAATTTTAAATGCAGTTGTATTTAGTGAGTATTTCAAATAGCAGATTTGAAGTTTTCTTATAACACCTTTATTACTTTTGGGCAGAATTGTAGCTATCAGCCCTGTTCCCTGTGGCTGTGAATATTTCAAATTCCAAATATTGTGATTTTTTTTTTTAAAACAGAAACTCAGGGGTTATGTGGGTCACAAGTGAGATGGCTAAATAGTTTCCTCTGCAGAGATAATAATTGTGATATCTAGATGCTGCAAGAATGACTTCATGGTATATGTTAAGTGTGGATGGCAGATAGTCTAAACCCTTTCTTCAGATTACGCATTTGAATCATGGAATGCTCAAGGCAATTTTTTCCCTTTTAGAGGCAGGTAAAGCAGCAGCTGTATAGTTCACCTTACATGTTCACCTTTCGGTTAATCTGAAAAACTGAAGCTTGTATGTGTTGGTTCACATTAAGAAAAGTGGAACAGATGGGTATTTTCTAAAAGTGTGGGGTAGAGTATCATTCTCTGGTCTCTCTTCATGTTCTGCTCCTCAGCTCCATAGCTTTGCTGGCTGCTGTGGAAGTACCAGTATTTATTGGGGTCTGAGGCAGTTCTTCAGTGCTGGCTTTGGTGGCATTGATACAAAGAAATGTGTTTGAAGGAGTAGCATGCAGGTATGGATGAGGTTTGTAGGTAAGCTGGAAGCTCAGATTCCTACAAGTCCTACAGAAATACTCAGTTCAATCTTTGGAAGAGATTGGGGAGAATTAACTGGGTTTACAGTGGCACGTTCAAGCCTGGTTTAAACTTACCAGGCACTAGCAGATCTGTGCCAGGTATCAAATGAGCAGCAACTGCTCAACAGTTAGTCCTTCAGCTTCCTTTTCTGATAGAGAATAGGATGTATTAACCTGGTGCTATTTAGGAAAGTGTTGTAGGTCAGCTATGATCTCTGTCAGATTTGTTCCAGTCCACAGGAGTGTAGAGAGCCCAACTCATGCCCTGGCTGATGTGGCAGCTTTGTGCTGCTCTGAGAGGGGCCTGGCCAGGCTCAGACAGAGCCCTGAAGGCAGGACGGTCCATCAGGAGAGAACTTCATGGTTTGCTGTGTTGCATATGTTCAGGTGTGGCACTATCAGATGGTATCCTGTCAAAGCAGTTGTTGCTGTAATAATTTTTGTTTCTGGAGGTAGCGATCCTTATATATATACACGTTTTGAAAATTTCCTCCTAAGGTGCCTATGGATGAGTTTAGTTCATGTTGTTCTTTGGGGAATTTAACATGAGATGTTCTGTACTATCCAATAGCATAATAGAAGGAAGGTCACAGAGCTTCTGAAAGGCTCAATCTTTGTTATGCACCACCTATTCAAAACAATACATGTTACAGAGGGCTCGAAAAAATTGAGCCAACACCAGTGAGCAGATGACTGAAAGGCCTCCTGGCAGCCTGGTGTAGGAGAGATCTGAGAGTGCTGTTAAAACTGAACAAGACCCTGGTGCAGCCAGCATGAACATCCAGATTTTGGGAGAGCAGAAAGTGGTGGGACACAAAACACTTGCCAGCTTTTTGTTAGCCAGTTGTAAGAGCTGTAAGATCCCTTGAGATTGCTTTTTCTCAGACAAGAGTGTGATCAGTTGTAGAAGTTGTGGACAAATCCCTGGACCATCAGGTCTGCTCTGCTTCTAATTCAGAATGATGTTCTTGCAACGAAATGGCAAAAAATAAGTTGTACTATTTCAAACAAATACCATTGAAATACTATTTCTGTTCTTCATTATTTCTATGCTTTACAAATTTCTGCACCTACAAATCTCTATGAATTAGGCACTCAAGTGGAATTTTTCGAGACTAGCTTCTAGACCTCCCATTTGGACACTGACTAATCTGTAGCTGTAAAGTAACCCATTTCAAAGAGTTTCTGTAGGCTGTGGAATGATGTGATTTGATATGTGATATGATGTGGAAGCTTCTTAGAGGACTGATAATGTAAACACCGTAATGTGCTATGAAAACCATATTTTAAGTGCTTGTTAGATAACAGAAAGGATCTGCAATTCTTTAGGTTTTTTTCTTTGTGCTGAGTCCTTTCTGTCCTGTTCAGTTCCTTCTGTGCTGTAACTGTTTGTGTCATTCCTTTTAGGATTCTGAAGGAGGTCTCTATGTGTGCATGAACACGTTTCTGGGATTTGGAAGGGAACACATTGAAAGACATTACCGGAAAACAGGACAGTGTGTGTATTTGCATCTGAAACGCCGTGTGATAGAGGTGAGACTTGTGGCTTCCCGACTAACCACCCCAGCAGTTCCTGGTCTCTTCTTGGTCTCTAGTGCTCATTTGGGTAATGCATTTCAGGCAGAGACTAAATCATGAGTGGCAGAAATTAACATGTTCAGATTTGGGGCTGAATATCAAATTCAGGTGCTTGGATACCAGCCAGCTTCAGCTCTGGCATGCATCAGAAACCCTAAAGAGTCAGATGTTAAAGGCAGCTTGTGCCTGACTTCCACTGATCTTTTTCACTACTCATTTCTGCATATCACATACATATTGTCTGTATATTATGTGCAAACTCTAGGTAGCTAAATACCTTTCTGAAACCTGCCTTTGAAGTGTAGAATTACTGGATTTGGCTTAGATTTTCCTGGAAGGTTCTGAGATCTATTTTTTGTATGAGGTTTCATCTCAGAGTGACAGGATTTCTTTTCACTCTTACTATTACTATTAAATCCTGATCTGGCCCAGGATCTTAAGCTTAGCTTAAATTAATGCTGGATTCTAGAGACACACACTGCCCCTCCTTTAGTCCACCCCACACACGGATGTGTACACACAAATTTTCCTTCCTCTTCCATAGTATCTCTGCATGGATGTGTACACACAAACTTTCCTTCCTCTTCCATAGTATCTCTGCATATCAAGTCACATGTAACCTGTGCTTCATAACATCTGTTTGTGTGTGAGTTCTCTGACTGTGAATGACCTCTGACCTGAGCTATATGGAACGCACTGGCTTTGCATATAGCTTGCTCTCCCATAAGCTCTGTCTCTCTTGGCAAGTTAGAGGGCTTAAAATAGCAGCTTGGAGCAAGTTAGAATAGTTGTTTCTCATTCTAAAACAATGTTTCCCTTGGGTGGTAAAGGCCCTCAGTTATGTAAAGGGTCCTGACCACTTATCTTATTTCCAGTAGTGACTATTCATATTTTATCAGAGCTACAGTGAGGTGGATTGCATGTCTTCCAGGCTGAGATTGCTGATGATGTTTGTTGTACCTTAGAATTGTGTTTCCTTCTAAGGGTGGTACCAGCATTTTCCTTCACACTGTTTTGGGAGAGCCTAGTCTAGTTTTAGCAACAGATCTGACTGAATTTAACACTCCCAAAATATGCTGTCTAGAGACAGGTGGGCAGAAATCCTGTCAGCTTTCCTTGTATATAACTTTCTTCCAGTATGTTAAGGTAAACTGGGACTAAAATGAGGCCTCAAAAATTCCATTCCTGATAAAGATTAGGCTGAAGAACTCCAAAATGGAGAAACAAATATCCCAGCTGTTGTTTAGTGTTGCATAGCCCTTCAGTCAAACTAGTCCAGTGGTTCCTGTTTTTCTCCTTGTGGATCATGATGTAGTAGAGGGTTTGGCTCTGTGTTTGAAGGTGGCAACTCACTGGTGCTCTGGGTCATGTGGTAGGAAGCAGGATTTGACTATACAGTACAGGTGAAGATTGCATCATCTAATAGGCTCATAGCCAGAATTCCTCATACATTAGCTGTGGATGTTTTTTACCATGACTCGTTGCTTCTTAAGTGCTATCCATATTTTTCTTTGAGCAATATGAAACATCAGTACTTCACTGGAGCAGTTTTATGAAGTGTCTGGCACATGCTGCATTGTGGTTTTGATTTTTTTAATCTAAGCTTTTGATGGTATGGGATACAGTAAAGCCAAAGGCATTGGATATGCTATCTTGAGATTCTTTTAGTGAGACTGCTATTCCTGCCTGTGGTTCCCTTGGCATCATCCTTGCAGAATGCACTGCATTGCTACAGAAATCCCAGTTTGCTTCCGAAGATGTTTGGAATAAGTATGAGTTGTGTATCTTGTCACAATTCAGTTAGAAAATAAGGGTCACATCTTCAGCCTGTTGGCATAAGTAGAGCTGGAGTATCTGCCAGTGGCAGCTCAGCACCAGAGGCATCTGCTGAATCATCAGAAATGTTCACAAGTGCAAGTTGTGGAGCAACTTCTGGTAAAATTCTTAGCTAATAAAAAAAATTTATTTTGTTTTTTCTTTTCCCACAGAATTTCACTCTTCAAAATTTTTAAATTGGTCACTTTCCTGTAGCATATGACTTGCATTCAGCTGCCTGGACAGTGCTCAGTTCCAGGCAGAGCTTTAGCTTGCTGCTGTAGTGATACCTGAGCCCTGTTGAAAACACTGAGCAGAGAAGCATGAAGGTTTCTACAGGGATGGGCTCCTGGATGTTATTTATCAAAAATGTGGCAATGGTGCAGTTCTAGAGAAGGCAGAGCAGGCTGCACTAGCACCTTAGCCAAGAAGCATCTCTAATGGAATTTAATGCCACTGCTGATGCCTTGTGTGCACTCCCATTTGTGGAGAGTCTGTTACAAACCAAAATGGTTTTGTGAATAGGGAATGTTTTCAGGGATTCCTGACAGGTGGAGAAACAAGGTAAAAAATCTGCCAGGTTGTGGGGTTTTAAGGGATATTGAGCATCTGCAATTCTGATGTATTCAGGAGTTTGGACAATCCAACAGAAATCATTGCCTGCCTGAATTAAGTATAAACACTCCATGTGAATTATTTCTCTAGTCTTAATGACTTTGACAGTATCCCACTTGGTGACATCAGAATTCAATTGGAGCTTCCTAGTATTGGAAACAATATTTTTTTAGTTCTGAAACTATAATCCTTGGAGTATGTGTAATTCATTCGTAACATATTTGTAATTGGGTTATGTTGTTTCTTGCTGCTGCTTTTAAAAAATAGATTTGGATTCTTGGCTACTTCCTTTCCACTTGTTAAATTCCAGTAGTGTTAAAGAAAAAAATCAAAATTCTTAAATGAAATGAAAATAACAAGCAGAATATTTCTATTTTAAATGCTGGGGTTGCAGCCCTCCTTCCCTTTCCCTAAGGCTTGTGTATTTGGATAATAGATTCTGTTCTTAAATGCAGCCAAGGGGTGTTTATTGGCATCTGCTCTTTCTAAGAATGGAAAACTTTCCTATGATGTATAAGACTTTGCTGATGATTCAAGCAGTTTGCTTAGACCAAAGCTTTATTTACATGGTGAAGGGAACCACCCAAAATATGTGACCCTCTCGCCTGCGAAGGAGCAGAGGCGAACATGAAATTTCCCTAGGCTGACAGGTTCTTGGCTGGTTTCTCTCCACCTGTTGGATGCCAATATTATTATTAAAAAAAAAAAAAGTTGCCTAACAACCTTGCCAGTTACACTAACATTACACTACATAATGCATCATGTTGGCATCAAATAGCCACAGAGGCTCATTTGATTTAATTTGATTTATTTAATGGTGTGATTTAATAAACAGCTTAAGAAACAAGTTCATTAACTTTTACATTTCCTCAGCTACTAGTGTTTTCCCTAGTAGTCTGAGGTATACTGTGCTGGGAAAGTAGGGGTTGAAACTGAATCTCACTAGGAAGTTACTGTTCTCTACTGTGGAGCTTAAATTAAAAAATACAGTAAAATCCTCACTAAACAATTGTTTGGGTGGTGTCAAGTTTCCTCCACACTTTCTAATATTAAGAAAACACAGTGGTAATTTGGATTCCTCTTAATGGAAGCAGGAGTGGATCCTGATGGAAAGGGCATTATTTCCTGGATAGAAGAAAATTAACTGAACTAATAGATCACAGCAAAGTGATTCTACTGGAATTGGTTATGAAAGATTGGATCTTTTACGTGGATAATAGGCTTTTCTTCCCTCTAATTCAGTATTTGTCATTAAGAAATACTGTTGGGGATCTAGTGGTTTGAGAGGTGCTGGATGTCCCGTCTTGGTGACAGAACAGCAGTCACCTGTGGTGACCATGAGACATGCACTGCTTAATTGCTAACAGAGCCAAGTATGAGGGAATTCAGATGGAGTTTTCTCACTCCATGAGGGTAGTGGTGTCCTGGTTTTGGCAATGATGAGTTGAGTCCCAGTGTCAGTGGTGAACAAAGAGGAATTACGTCTTGCTCATCAAGGACTGTGATTTAATAGAAGGACACTGGACAGATAGATGTGTGTCAGAATTGGTGACGGTGTGGGGTTATTTCTGATTCACTGTTGTTTCACTTGATGGATTTTTAATTGTTTCTTTCTCTCTTTCCAGAAGGTACCAGGAGCATCTGGTGGAGCTTTACCAAAAAGGAGGAATGCTAAGCTATTTTTAGGTATTGTGAGCAGCTGCTTTCACACAGTCCTTTTCTGACCCTGTCTGCATGTGTACTTGGGTTCTGTCCACCATTGTGTCTGGCTTTGGAGCTCCTTCTGGGGTTTTTTTTTCTGGTTTTTTTTTTTTGTTTGTTTTTTAACTTTTGGTTCTAGTTTTTAAAGTTTGTCCAGACAAATAAGTAATTCTTAGCAACTTTGGTGCATATTGAGAGATGTTTGCATATATATATGCATGAAACATTTCAATCTAAAATAGGCCCTCAGCTCTTCTCAGACAGCCTAGGGTTTGATAGGGTTTTTTTGACGAATCTGTCCATTCTCTCTCTTTGTGATTTCCACAAAGCACCTTTTATTACAATGTTTATCTATGCTTAGATATATCAGGGCCTCAGTGTGGCATTGCTCTGCTCAGCAGCTGGTCATGGGCAGGGCTGTTACCATTTTAAAGTTTTTATGCAGGTAAATGTTTTTAAGTGATGTTGTGGTCTTTTCTGCAATGAATGCAAAAGTACATATATCATGGGCATCTCTCTGGTACATCCACAGTTATATCCCCTTGCTTCACACAGAGCAGTTTTCTTACCATGTCCATATCATCCAAAATCCATTTATTCAGATTACCCAGAAAACCTGAGGGTCTCATAAGTATGGATGAGGGGAACATGATGCAAAGCTTATATTCTCTCTTCTCCTACTGCTTGTGCTATTTCTCCAATCTATTTATTGTTTATTCCCTCTGTATTAATAGTGAAGAGGGAATTTTTCTTCAGGTTACAAAGAGGTTAAATGTTTTCTTTACAATTGCCATCACTTATGGCTAAAGGGAAACAACAGCATGACCTTCCTTTGGAATAGCTTTGATCTGTGGAATGTGTCCCTAAGAGGACTTTGCAGATTGTGATCGATTACATTGTTGTTGTTAATGTCTGGAGTAAGTATTGCAAGGAGAGCTTGGACAGAAAAAGGTCTGAAGATGAGTCATGAAGAAATTAAGCTGCTTTTACAGGAAGAGACTGCTACACTGCGGATGCTGGTCTGAATGCCGTTTGCTGCCAGTTTGCATTGAAAATAATGGTTGTCACTGAATGCCTGTAAAAGAATTGGTTCAGAAACAAATCTGGCTGCAGTGCAGCAATGGTTGCACCATGTTAGCAATGTGAGTGTAAACATGAAGTACAAAAGCATGGTCAAACTTTTTTCTTGCTGATCTTCTGTATACATTTGGAGGCTTCTGTCCACTGTGGTTTGCCAGCACACAGGGCACTGGCTTTAGTGTCTGTGATATGCCATGTTGAAGTCCTCAAATTTCATCCTTAGACATGAGGATTTTGTTCCCACTGAGTAGATCTGGTGCAGCAGTTGCAAGTGTTTTGGTCCCAGGAAAATTCTGAAGATAGTTCAGTTTCACTGTGGTGGATTTAGCCCATGAAACTATCCAGCACTCCTGGAATCTAACACATTTTTGGAAATGTATCTCATCTGGTCTCTTCTATTCAGTCCTCTTTGCAGCTGGGATTAAATTGGTATCAACTCTGCTGTGATCCTGAAGATAGTACTTCCATGCATCTGAATGCTTTGTAAGCACTTATTTGGCTCAGCAGATTTTACTGGGTTTTGGCCATGCTTAAAGAAAAGACTAAAGAATTTTTCCTGTCCTTGCCCATAGCTGAGGAAATGAAAGCACAGAAAGGTCATCTGATTTGATAATTTTGCATGTGACAGCAGCAGAGCTGGTTAGCAAAATTTTGCATCTTATCTCTTAATCCAACATCTTTTTCATCGGTTCAGAGCTGCTGAACTTCTCATTTCAACAGGTTGGTTTAGTTCTGTCTTTCTCACTGTGAGAGGATTGGGCACCTATCACAGGTTGGGGTTGGAAGGAACCTCTGGAGAACACCTAATCCAATCCCCTGCTAGAACAGGTTCACCTAGAGCAGGTTGCACATGACTGTCCAGGTGTGTTTGTAGTATCTTCAGAGAAGGACACCCCACCACCTCTCTGGGCAGTCTGTTCCAGTGCTTTGTCACACTCCAAGTAACCAAATTTTTCCTGATATTCAGGTGGAACTTCCTGTGTTTCAGTTTGTGCCTGTTGCACCTTGTCCTGCCACTGGGCACTACTGAAAAGATTTTGGCCCCATCCTCTTGACACACTCCCTTAAGACATTTGTATGCATTGATAAGATATCTCAGTCTCTTTTCCAGGCTGAACAGTCCCAGGTCACTCAGCCTTTTCTCATAAGAGAGATGCCTCAGTCCCTTAATCATCTTTGCAATGCTCCACTGGACCCGCTCCAGTAGTTCCTTGTCTTTCTTCTCTGGGGAGCCCAGAACTGGACACAGTACTCCTGATGAAGCTTCACAAGGGCGGGTAGAGGGGGAGTATGATCTCCCTTGATCTGCTGGCCACAGTCTTCCTAATTCCCTCCAGGATATCATTAGCCTTCTCAGAGGACACAAGGGCACATTGCTGGTGCATGGTTAACTTGTCCTGTGGTAGAGGTTTGCACCAAACTGGCTGCTACCTGCCCAGGTATGTAACCTGCCATTTAGGGTTTACCCTGTCAGACAGGAACAGGCAATGATCCATGGGTAGCTCCAGCATCACTGTGTTTCTAGGTGTCTTTGAATAATTCCCCTGAGGCCCAGAGATTTAAGCTTTGTGTACAAAGTCAATCCAGTTTGGGCATTTGTTACATTGCTTCTTATAATCCTCTTTGATGTAAAACTATTAAAGATATTAAACCCTTTTCAATCTCCTTAGTATTAGGAAAACATCTTTTGAATGCTCAGTGATTACTTTCTAGCACTGCTGCTATCTAGTAGATGCAAGAGAAACTCGGACTAGTTCAGTCAGTCATCTGGAAGCTTTATCT